TAATTGATATGACATTAGAAGCAGCACACCTTTAGAAGACCAAAATGAAAGGTGTTTCAAGCCTGATTTTAGTATTACAGATTTCAGTCCTCACTTTAGTTGCTTAGTTCACAGACAGCATATAGAGTTAGATAGAGTGAGAATTCTACCCATTAACTGCTATTTTCAAAAGGACCATTGCTTTAACCATCTTGTTAGATAAATATATGGTTTTGCCCCTACTGTATTTCTTAACTTCTTTCCTTTCTCTCTCTACATTGTTTAATCCTTAAATTCTCACTTTCCATTTAACTGTGTTATACCTTTCAATTTTTACTTCTTCTTTTGAGTGCTTACACTAGAAAGACAATACAATATTTACACATGTGGGTCTGTTTCATTTCACTTATGAGTATAACTTCAAGTTGCATCCACTTTCCTATTAAGGATTTGAGGTTATTTTTCTTTACAGCTGGGTAATACTTCATTGATAAAAACACCACATCTTTTTCATCCATTCCTCAGTTGAGGGGCATTTTGGTTGTTTCCAAGATTTGTCTATCACAAATTTGGCTGCTATAAACATAGTTGCACATTTATCACTATGATATGTTATTTTCAGTTCTTTTGGAAAAATTCCCAGAAGCAGAACAGCTGAATTGAATTGGATTTCCAGTCCTAGTTTTTTGAGAAATCTTCACACTGATTTCCATAATGGTTGTACCACTCTACGTTTCCACCAGCAGTGGAGAAGGGTTTCTTTTTCCCTGAAGCCTCTCCAACATTTGTTGTTGGTTAATTTCTTTATGATAGCTATTCTTTCTGGGTGCATTGTTAATTTTATTTTTAATAATTAATTTTATTAAGAAAGAAATAGCAATGAGACAGTTTCAAAACAGGCTAGTAGGACAGTTACAATAATTAATACATTACATATTATTGTCTTGTTAGTAGTAATTCATAGTACAAGATGTAGATATGATATCTTGTCTAAACACTATTAGTACAAATCTTCTTTCCCATTAAACTAAGAGAGTGTAGCTGTATATTTATCCTGTTTTGTATATACAGATATATATTTTTCACTACAAAATGGCCCTTCATTTATATTCCCCTTTTTTGTTTACTTTTGTCAGGGATGGGTATTCCATTGACATTTAAATACTGTAGGTCCATGAATTCAACAAAGTAATCCAACACGAGGTATAAAAAGTATAGCCATATTAATATGCTGAGATGTAAAAGGCTCTAATCAACAACTTCTGACAGTGCCAATCCTGTGGATAACATACTACTATTATGGACTACTGGACTATACTGTCATGTTAATTTTAAACAGTTTTAAAAGCAATACTACCCTTCCCAGGTACCCAGAAATTGCAATTCTTTTCTGTTCATTCACTCTTTAAATTCTTTTCCTGACAAGTTCAAGGTCCTGAGTTCAATCATAGATACCAAAAAAATAAATAAAAATAAAAAATTCTACCTGCTTCTGTATTATTTTCTTTAGAGATGAAATACAATTTATTTAGTATATCTTGTGTGACATAAATGTTTGCAATGATTCTTTCAGTTTCATCAGTAGAGAATAATTTTGCTTCATAATATACTTTTAAATTTATAGGGTTTTTTATTTTCTAAAACAACTTCATATTTCCACTGCTTCTGACATTATTTCTGATGAAAAATTCAAAGTTATTCAAATGACTTTTTCCCACATGCAATAAGTTATCCACATCTTTGGATGATTTTTTTCCTTTCTTTTTGAGACAGAACCTGAATATTCAGTGCAAACTAACCTTGAATTTGTGACAAACTTGTTGCCTCATTCTCCCAAGTTCTGTGATTATAGCAGAACACAGCCATGCCCAGTAAGAACTTTTATCTTCGGATAAAGACTTGGATTAAAAATAAAATATTTTTTAATCATTATTCAGCCGATGGCCATCTTGGTTGTTTCCAAGATTTAGCTATCACAAATTCTGCTGTGGTAAATATAGATGCACATATGTCACTATAATATAATGTTTTCAGCTCCTCTGGGAAAATTTCCAGTAGGGGGAGAGCTGGTTTGAATGGGATTTCCAGTCCTAGTTTTTTGAAAAATCTCCACACTGATTTCCATAATTGTTGTACCAGTCTACATTCCCATCAGCAGTGGACAAGGGTTCCTTTTTCCCCAGAGCCTCTCCAACATTTGTTGTTGGTTGATTTGTTTATGATAGCCACTCTTTTTGGTGTGAGATGGTAACTCAGTGTAACATCCTGTAACTCAGTTGTGTCCCACATTTTCTGATCAAGGACATTATGGGGCCACAGAGGAAAGTGATCAATGACGTAGAGTGTGCCTAAGGAGAGTCACACGGAAAGAAAACATTCTCTCAGGCTTTCACAGAGAGCAAATTGGTCAAGCAATGGGTGTGACTCATCCACATGGCTGACACTGACAAAAGATCTGCAAACTGCGGTACAAAGTTACAGGATAAATCCTGAGGGTACTTGACTGAACTTACCAGATACAAAAGTTACATTTCTTGTTATATAGGTCTTGCTTTACCTTGGTCTTAACCATCCAGCAGAAAAAGTATAAAAACGAGGTATAAAAAGTAAAGCCATATTAACATGCTGAGCAGAAAAAAGTTCAAGTCAACAACTTCTGACATTGGCAGTCCTGTGGATAACCCATTACTCTTATGGACTACTGGACTATATTGGAATATATTGCTGAACGCACGCACCTGCAATATTTAAATGGCAATAGAATATCCATCTCTGACAAAACTAAACAAAAAAGGGGATACAAATGAAGGACTATTTTGTCTTTATATGCAAAATAATTAAGATAGATATATAGCTACTTTTTCTTAATTCAATGAGAAAAAAGATTTGTACTAATAGTGTTTGGACAGGATATCATGTCTGCATCTTGTACTATGAATGACCACTATGAAAACAACAATATGCAATGTATTAATTATTGAAACTGTCCTACTAATTGGTTTTGAAACTGTCTCATTGCTATTTGTTTCTCAATAAAATTAATTAAAAAATAAAAAAATTTAAAACTTGTATTATCTTTTATCTAATCATAGTTACTCTGAATTTTCCAAATGGGTGGCCAGAGTTTCCAGATTGATACATCTAGAACATTCATCTCACTTAAATAAGTTTGTAGCAATGCTTTTCCCAAATATTGTCACTTTGTCTTCTTTTCATTTATCAACTTTTTAGTTAACAAAATAATTGTGTATTTCTAGGCCCTGTTCTGTGGCTGTTTTGATCTATGTGTATGTTGGAGAAAATTGTATTTAGTTAACTGGCATACCTACCACCTTACCAACTCATCTTGTCTCCTGCATGGAGAATATTAAAACTTGTTCTTGAAATACATAATTTACATTATTTTAAACTATAGTCACAAATATATTTTTAAGGTTGATAATCCAAATAATTCCATTAAAGGATTCCAGGGAGGTGGTGAGCATTTTTCATATTTCCAGTGAATGTTCATATCTGTCCTTCTGAGAAACATCTATACAATTCTCTGCCCAGTTTGAACTGGATTATTTGAGTTTAGTCCCTTATACATTATGAACCATCATCAAATATAGAAAATATATCGCAAATGTTTTCTCTGAATCTATAGCTTCCATCTTCATTCTGTTATTTCCTTTGCCTTGAAGATTTTCACATTGATGTTATTCCACTTATCAAGTTTTGGTATTGTTGTCCATACTTTTGAAACTCTCTACAGGTAATCTTCACCTATACTTACTTTTAATACCTTTACAGTTTCCTATCTTACATTTAACCATGCATTAATGCTATTTTGAGTTGATCTTTGTACATGATGTGAGATAAGACTCCAGTTTTATTCCATTAAATCACATATTTGTTCACTTAGAAATAAAAGCATGTCTGAAGGAAAACTCCCCACCCCATCTCCAAGGAAGATAATGATTAGCTTCAGTGTCACCTGTGACCCCACCACATCATCTTAGAGAGAATGCTCAGCATTGTTTCACCATTCTTAGAGCCAATCAGTTGTTAAAATTCTCTGATTGTCCTTTTCTGCCATATCAGTTTCAATTATCTGGGTTATTACTGGACAGTATAGATTTTCACATGTGTTTCTATTTTGGTTGCATATAATTCTTCATATTTGGAATGGGTGATTACCTTTACCTTTCTAAACATCCCTATGTATTTTTCTTTCAGTACCAGGGATTTAACTAAGGACCCTTTGCTTGCCAGGCAGGTGCTTATTCTACTGAGTTATCTCCCCATCCCCTACACCCCATGTATTTAAATTAATATATATCTTTATCCAAAAATGACAGTAGGAAGGTCCCCCATTAGTTAGTCTGTCTTATCACCTACATCTAGCATATTAAGATGAAAGTAAGGAAATAAGATTTAAGAAACTAATAGTGTATTGTAAAAAAACTAATGCTCTGTGAGAAATGCTTAAAGTGTCATGTGAGCTTCTGTATTGCTTATAATATACATATAACACAATTTTAATGATTACATCTAACCTTTGAAAAAATGGAAATAAACCAAACTTTAATAGCATAATTGCCATACTATTAAAAGCCAACTGTACTGAATAATTACTGAGTTAACTGGATTGAATAATTTTCATATATGCAGTACAAGCATAAAGGATTAAATATTTGATTTTATGCTATATTTTGCTCATTATTTAGCTTGATTTTTGATACATATATCATATGTACATCACTTAAGTACATATGAATATATATTATGAATTTTCATGAAGGTTCATAGTTTGTTAAAGAATGGATAATATAACCAGTTTATGTATGTATTAAAAAAAGAGCCTCTTTTTTCAAAGAGCTATAATGTTAAATTATATCTTATGTATTTATCATCCACATACAGCAAATTAAATATATTTAACAGAAAAAGCATAACTACACATATTTCAATAATCCAACAGAAATTTAAAGTATTTGCATTTTTGAGAAGCAATTATCCATCACTTCATATTTGAAAATTTACTGTCTTTTCCTCATGGATATTAACCATTCCATCATCCGTTTTTCAGTGCTCATTAGCACAAAAGGACACATTGTGGCATAGGCATTGCCCACAAGCATCTGTACACAATGATAAATTGGATCATTGTTCCACAATACAACAAGTGAAGAGAAAATAACACAGTCCAAACAGTACATGAGCATAAAGAAGCCTGTTAGCACAAGAATAGTCTGAGTGGCCCTCTCTCCAGGGTATGCTTTTGGAGAAAGATTAGAATGGTGAAGGTGTTGGAACTGTCTTTTATGCCTGCACAAGAGATTCACCATGTATCCACTTGACAGGGCCATGAGCCCTACAAAGGAAATATCCTGAATGTTCACCAATGAGAGAAATATGTATCTGAAAAAGTAACTAATAGGCCACTGAGAGCAGGATTCAGTGACAAAGTTGAGACTGTGTGAAGTCCCATTTGGTGTCGCACCAATGGAGATTAAAAAGCGAATGTTCAGGAGCATATTTAAGACCCATAAAAAGACAAGGCAACATGGATAATAATGTGAGGATTTGTGTTTGAATTTTGCCAAAAAAGAGTTTCTAGGGCTAAGTATTATAGCCTGGAGGACACTCAGCAAGCAGGTGGTACAGATAGAGAGGGCCCTCATCAACCTGTTTACATATATAACTGATTTACACATAAAGTCATTCCCCCAGCCCTCAAACTCAAATGTGTCTGTAGCTATGAAGCCCATGGTTACCAGTAACATCCAATGGACTAGAGCCAACTGTGCAATAGTCAGGTCAAGGGGCTTGGGCCTGTGCTTGAGCAGAAACATGAGGATGTGGAACAGAAGCAGGATCACGTTGGCTGTGATCCCAGTGGTGATTTCAAAGAAAACTATGTTTTTTATGTCTTTATAACTGGAAAATTTTCTCTTTTTATTCATCTTCATGGGGTTAATCAAACAATAAATGTCTGAGGAAAAAAGCAAGAAAACTTTTATTGCAAATATTACCACCATCGTCATTTCTGCCAACACTATGCATTCATCAGAACACATGTATCCTCTTCCCTTCAGAGCCAGGTTCACTTCAGAACCTCCTGTATGAACTATTGTTCTCACCCCGTCCCATACCTTCATGATGATGGTTGAATTATGAGTGTCATTGCAGGACTCCCACAACACCTCTGTGAGAAAACTGTCACATTTTACAGTAGGTATTACCTTTTTGCCTCAATATTTAGTTTTCAAAGTCAGCCATAATGTCTTACTGGCCATTTTATTTTTATTAATTTTACTGAGAAAAAAATAGCAATGAGACAGTTTCAAAACCAATTAGTAGGACAATTTCAATAATTAATACATTGCATATTGTTGTCTTTGTAATAGTTATTCATAGTAGAAGATGCAGATATGATATCCTGTCCAAACACTATTAGTAAAAATCTTTCATCTCATTAATTAAGAGAAAGTAGCTGTATATCTATCCTATTTTGTATATACAGATACAAAATGGTCCTTCATTGGCCATTTTAAAAGAGCAGTTTTGTCTAAATTGTGAAAGGATAGTTGCCTACATTTGAAAATCAGAGCAAGCAGTAATTGTTCATGGGATAACCACACACTGATGCCAGTGTCATCTTTATTCTGATTTTTTGCCAGACCAAATACTAATAGGGAATGAATTTTGCTCAGCATATTTTGAAATGAAGTGAAATTCGTTTATATCTATGATGTGACATTTATCAAATGCAGGATTTCAAAAGTCAGTTAACATTCCTGAGCATTTCATGTGATAAGTTAAATAAGGACAATTATATTCCTTCTTTTCTAGAGATATAATGCATATAATATATACAAATGATCATGTCATGAAGAAAGTCTGTTTGTACCAATAGTGTTTGGACAGGATATCATGTCTGCATCTTGTACTATGAACAACCACTAAGAAGAAAACAATATGCAATTTATTAATTATTAAAACTGTCCTACTAATCAGTTTTGAAACTTTCTCATTGTTTGTCAATAAAATTAAAAACAAAAAAATTAAATAAAACAGTTGGCACAAGCAAAAAAAAAGTCTGGTAAAGGAATAAAATTTCAGGTACTATTTTCATTATTACAAAATTCCTCATGCATAAAACTTGAAATTTCCTATGAAGAATATATATATACACATTTTTATTTTTAGGGTGTGGAAATCATGCTTCTCCCCTGTCCCCTTTCTTCTCTCTCTGTATATATATCCATGAATTGAACTCAGGAACTTGTGCTTGCCAGGCATGTACATATGCCACTGAACTGTATCCCCAGCCCATTATATATATGTAAATAGTACCAATAAACTTTTAAAAAAACTTTAGAGAATTAATGCATTTTACAGTATATTCTATCTCATCCTGGCTTAAAATAGTAAGGAGAAATGAATGATTATTGACAGTAGATTGTTAAAAATATGTGCTTATCAAACACATGAAATTAAATTGACTTTTAATATTCTATAACTACACAAGGCATATATGTTAGAAATATAGAACACGCAAACCAAGTAGCAGACTTCACATTACAGTTATTAATTATTATTAGGACCATGAATTCCATTTTTTTACTCCACCATAAGTAAGTATATGTATTGAGAATCAAACGTATACCATTTTAAGTATATTCTAAAGATTCTGTCTTATGCTTTTAATACAGTGAATAGCAAACATTTCTGATCTGCAGGTGGCTCAGCATGTATTTAAATATTTATACTTTCCTCAAGCAAGAAAGGATAACTGTAGAGATATGGGCCTCAAGTGTAAATTTCATGCTATAGAAATCAGTAATAACCAATGTTTAAGTTATCTTTACATATGATGAAGATGTTTGCTTTTTGAATATGTTTTCTTAGCAAAAATCAAATTCATGACTTTTTGCTTGCCAGGCAGGCACAATGTTACTGAGTTTCATCTTCAGCCCCTTGAATTTTTTTAAATTATGTTGGTCCACTTTTGACAAATATAATGATCACATTCATTATAGGAAATTTGTACCTGTACCATTGCATTTGTTTATTTTTCCCCATCCTTCACCATTCCTTTCATCCCTTCTTCTACACCCCATTTACAAAAGCTCTGTTTCAATTTTTTCCTCAATTCCCTCTTCATTCCTTTTCTCTTCCTTTCAGTATTCCAACCTCCACTGTTCCCTTTCACATTTGAATATTTTCTTCCTAAATCCAAAAATCTATCAAGAATTTTGGTGCTTATTTACACTTTCCGTTTCTTACATGAGTGTGCCCTGTATATCTATTTGAAGTAAGTACCAAAAATAACCTGATAATAATTTAAAATAATAACATTAAATGGGTACATACCAACATCAAAATATTTTTAATGTTACAAGTAAAAGAAAATATACACAATAAACTTGTCTTCTCGTGTTGTTTCTGCAAGATTTAGACATTGCTTTGTTTTCTAAATTAAATCTGGCATATAGCCTTTAAATTTGGCAAAGTAGAATATATAAGTCAACCATAAATTGAGGATATACTTACATTCTTTTCAGTGTCGCATATTACTTAGGGAACTACAGTCCTAATGCATGAAGGATGGAGGTAAGAGATGTGTGCAGATGCTCTAAGTTTACTAAACATTGAGGATGTGAGAGGATCCCTGGATCCTTACCTGAAACTGACAAAAGTTGAAGCTGAATCAAAATTTCCTTTCTCCACATTAATATAGGAAAGTGCACTCACCAGCATCCATTTTTGTTATTAGTTCCTGTGAAGCACCAGAAAGATAACAGAATCAAACCAACCAATCAGCCATCCCCAAATCCTGTGGATCATACACAACTGTATTTGTGAAACACACTCCAAATATCTTTGCCCTGAATTGGGATGAAAATGCTTTCAAGAAATGTATCTATACATTTCTTGAAATTTATGTACTAATATTTTATTACATAATATAGTCTTAGTACTCTGAACACATGAAAATAGACTAACAGAAACGGTCTAATAGTGAATCCCTGCCCAGTCATGCCTCAGTCATGTCACACCTGCCATGGTCAGCACAGTTTAGGAAACCAGGGAACAGAACAGCAGCTCTATCCATCCACAGGATGAACTAGAAGTCACTCCCAAAATGCAGCTCTTAGAAGTAGCAAAGCTCAGGTTCAGGGGCCGAGAATTTAATCCAAAACCTGCCGTGCCAGCTCCGCCCCTGGGGCATGCTGAAATGACAATTAAGACTGGGAAGGGGGAGGAGGAGGAGGAGGA